AAGAGTAAATTCTAATATTTGAAGAGAAAATTCTAAGTTTGAACAGTAAATTCCAAGATTTGAAGAGTAAATTCGATATTTTGAAGACTAAATTCTAAGTTTTGAAGAGTAAATTCTATGTTTCGAAGAGTAAATTCTAATATTTAAAGAGAAAATTCTAAGTTTGAAGAGTAAATTCCAAGATTTGAAGAGTAAATTCGGTATTTCGAAGAGTAAATTCTAAGTTTTGAAGAGAAAATTCTAAGTTTGAAGAGTAAATTCCAAGATTTGAAGAGTTAATTCGATATTTTGAAGAGTAAATTCTAAGTTTTGAAGAGTAAATTGCATGTTTCGAAGAGTAAATTCTAATATTTGAAGAGAAAATTCTAAGTTTGAAGAGTAAATTCCAAGTTTTGAAGAGTAAAATCGATATTTTGAAGAGTAAATTCTAAGTTTTGAAGAGTAAATTCTATGTTTCGAAGAGTAAATTCTAATATTTGAAGAGAAAATTTAAAGTTTGAAGAGTAAATTCCAAGTTTTGAAGAGTAAATTCGATATTTTGAAGAGTAAATGCTAAGTTTTGAAGAGAAAATTCTAAGTTTGAAAAGTAAATTCCAAGATTTGAAGAGTAAATTCGATATTTTGAAGAGTAAATTCTAACTTTTGAAGAGTAAATTCTATGTTTCGAAGAGTAAATTTTAATATTTGAAGAGAAAATTCTAAGTTTGAAGAGTAAATTCCAAGATTTGAAGATTAAAGTCGATATTTTGAAGAGTAAATTCTAAGTTTTGAAGTGTAAATTCTATGTTTCGAAGAGTAAATTCTAAGATTTAAAAAGAAAATTCTAAGTTTGAAGAGTAAATTCCAAGATTTGAAGAGTAAATTCGTTATTTTGAAGAGTAAATTCTAAGTTTTGAGGAGTAAATTCTATGTTTCGAAGAGTAAATTCTAATATTTGAAGAGAAAATTCTAAGTTTGAAGAGTAAATTCCAAGATTTGAAGAGTAAATTCGATATTTTGAAGACTAAATTCTAAGTTTTGAAGAGAAAATTCTAAGTTTGAAGACTAAATTCCAAGATTTGAAGAGTAAATTCGATATTTTGAAGAGTAAATTCTAAGTTTTGAAGAGAAAATTCTATGTTTGAAGAGTAAATTCCAAGATTTGAAGAGTAAATTCGATATTTTGAAGAGTAAATTCTAAGTTTTGAAGAGTAAATTCTATGTTTCGAAGAGTAAATTCTAATATTTAAGGAGAAAATTCTAAGTTTGAAGACTAAATTCCAAGATTTGAAGAGTAAATTCGATATTTTGAAGAGTAAATTCTAAGTTTTGAAGAGTAAATTCTATGTTTCCAAGAGTAAATTCTAATATTTGAAGAGAAAATTCTAAGTTTGAAGAGTAAATTCCAAGATTTGAAGAGTAAATTTGATATTTAGAAGAGTAAATTCTAAGATTTGAAGAGTAAATTCTAAGTTTTGAAGACCAAATTTTAAGTTCCGAAGAGTAAATTCGATATTTTGAAGAGTAAATTCTAAGTTTTGAAGAGTAAATTCTATGTTTCGAAGAGTAAATTCTAAGATTTGAAGAGAAAATTCTAAGTTTGAAGAGTAAATTCCAAGATTTGAAGAGTAAATTCGTTATTTAGAAGAGTAAATTCTAAGATTTGAAGAGTAAATTCTAGTTTTGAAGACTACATTTTGAGTTCGGAAGAGTAAATTCGATATTTTGAAGAGTAAATTCTAAGTTTTGAAGAGTAAATTCTATGTTTCGAAGAGTAAATTCTAATATTTGAAGAGAAAATTCTAAGTTTGAAGAGTAAATTCCAAGATTTGAAGAGTAAATTCGATATTTTGAAGAGTAAATTCTAAGCTTTGAAGAGAAAATTCTAAGTTTGAAGAGTAAATTCCAAGATTTGAAGAGTAAATTCGATATTTTGAAGAGTAAATTCTAAGGTTTGAAGAGTAAATTCTATGTTTCGAAGAGTAAATTCTAATATTTGAAGAGAAAATTCTAAGTTTGAAGAGTAAATTCCAAGATTTGAAGAATTAATTCGATATTTTGAAGAGTAAATTCTAAGTTTTGAAAAGTACATTATATGTATCGAAGAGTAAATCCTAATATTTGGAGAGAAAATTCTAATTTTGAAGAGTAAATTCCAAGATTTGAAGAGTAAATTCGATATTTTGAAAGAGTAAATTCTAAGTTTTGAAGAGTAAATTATATGTTTCGAAGAGTAAATTCTAATATTTGAGAAGAAAATTCTAAGTTTGAAGAGTAAATTCCAAGATTTGAAGAGTAAATTCGATATTTTGAAGAGTAAATTCTAAGTTTTGAAGAGTAAATTCTATGTTTCGAAGAGTATATTCTAATATTTGAAGAGAAAATTCTAAGTTTGAAGAGTAAATTCCAAGATTTGAAGAGTAAATTCGATATTTTGAAGAGTAAATTCTAAGTTTTGAAGAGTAAATTCTATGTTTCGAAGGTAAATTCTAATATTTGAAGAGAAAATTCTAAGTTTGAAGAGTAAATTCCAAGATTTGAAGAGTAAATTCGATATTTTGAAGAGTAAATTCTAAGTTTTGAAGAGAAAAGTCTAAGTTTGAAGAGTAAATTCCAAGATTTGAAAAGTAAATTCGATATTTTGAAGAGTAAATTCTAAGTTTTGAAGAGTAAATTCTATGTTTCGAAGAGTAAATTCTAAAATTTGAAGAGAAAATTCTAAGTTTGAAGAGTAAATTCAAAGATTTGAAGAGTAAATTCGATATTTTGAAGAGTAAATTCTAAGTTTTGAAGAGTAAATTCTATGTTTCGAAGAGTAAATTCTAATATTTGAAGAGAAAATTCTAAGTTGAAGAGTAAATTCCAAGTTTTGAAGAGTAAATTCGATATTTTGAAGAGTAAATTCTAAGTTTTGAAGAGAAAATTCTAAGTTTGAAGAGTAAATTCCAAGATTTGAAGAGTAAATTCGATATTTTGAAGAGTAAATTCTAAGTTTTGAAGAGTAAATTCTATGTTTCGAAGAGTAAATTCTAATATTTGAAGAGAAAATTCTAAGTTTGAAGAGTAAATTCCAAGATTTGAAGAGTAAATTCGATATTTTGAAGAGTAAATTCTAAGTTTTGAAGAGTAAATTCTATGTTTCGAAGAGTAAATTCTAATATTTGAAGAGAAAATTCTAAGTTTGAAGTAAATTTCAAGATTTGAAGAGTAAATTCGATATTTTGAAGAGTAAATTCTAAGTTTTGAAGAGTAAATTCTATGTTTCGAAGAGTAAATTCTAATATTTGAAGAGAAAATTCTAAGTTTGAAGAGTAAATTCCAAGATTTGAAGAGTAAATTCGATATTTTGAAGAGTAAATTCTAAGTTTTGAGGAGTAAATTCTATGTTTCGAAGAGTAAATTCTAATATTTGAAGAGAAAATTCTAAGTTTGAAGAGTAAATTCCAAGTTTTGAAGAGTAAATTCGATATTTTGAAGAGTAAATTCTAAGTTTTGAGGAGTAAATTCTATGTTTCGAAGAGTAAATTCTAATATTTGAAGAGAAAATTCTAAGTTTGAAGAGTAAATTCCAAGATTTGAAGGGTAAATTCGATATTTTGAAGAGTAAATTCTAAGTTTTGAGGAGTAAATTAATAAATGAAAGACTTCCAATTCGTTCACTTTAAAAGAGGAATAATTATCAAAGGGGGGAAGGGTTGACAGTGGATTGAAGGAGTTCATGGGCTCCAAAAAGGCGTTATTAATTAAATTCGCAATGTCAGGACGTTGCATATTCTCGATATCGTCTAAATGAAGTTGACTACATAGGTCATCGGAGCCGGTTGTAGGTACCATACCAGCAATCTGCTTCGCCTCCTTCCACCATCTCTTCGGTTTGGTCGATTTAAGATTCTTTACTTTTGAAGAGGAGAATTTCGCACGGCATGACTTTCGCTCGTGGTTAACCCGATCCCGGTAATGCTTGAACTGAAAGGTATTTCCACTGCAGAAGGCAGCTTGACGCTTCCTTATAAGCTCTTTAAATTCTGCAGTAATCCATGTAGGATCGTGTACATGCAAAGCCGTTTTCTTTATTGACATAATGGTGCTAATACCGAGACGTACTAACTCTTCGAAATACTGGAGTTTCATTTCGCATGTGTCAAAATGATTCAGAGAGGACCAATCGATAGATGTAAGGTATCTTCCAAGCTCATGCCTTTTACTAGATCGTAAATCTCTACTAGAGGTAATTCTTCTACTGCATGACTTGGGTTCTCTTTTGCAAGGATTGACAATCACAACATTATGATCTGAAAGACCAAATGGCGGAAATTTTTCGACAGAGTTCTTATCATAAAACGAATGTAAGTTGGTTATTATTAGATCCAAAGTCTGGTTGGCCCTTGTGGAAACGTTAACAATCTGTTTGCAACTGAACTGTGTTAATATCCGATTGCATTTTAACCGATTAAAGTCGCCTGCAAGAATAAACCCACAGCCAGGATAGGTGCTTTCAATAGTAATCAGTGATGTGGAGAGAAATTGGAGCATTTCGTCATCATTAGCATTAGGTGGATGGTAAACGACACCAAGTATCAAGCAGGAAAACCCGCGGGGAAGTCTACTTGGACGAACATAGACCCACAGAACTTCGTAATCTGTATGGTGGAGATGATTCAGAGGCTTATAAAATATCGTGTTCCTGATGTACACCCCAACCCCTCCGTGGGAGCCCACACTGCGGTTTTTATGAACAAAATTGTAACCTGGAATATTGAGGCAGGAATCTGAGATACGGTCATTTAGTCATGTTTCCGGTATACAGGCAAGGTCAGGACTCTTTACTGTGACAAAACAACTCACTTCATCAATTTTGGGAGCTAATGACATCGTATTTGTCAATAGTAGTTTCGGAACGTAGAAATAGTCATTAGCATTGGAAATAACAGTTTTATTAATGTTAATTTGAATAATATTATTTAAATTACGTTGTCCGCGATGAATTGAAGTAGGGCGACCTGATAGGGAAAAATCATGTTCTAGTAATAATACTGGAAAAAGCTCATATTGGCTTTCCATTTGTCCTTGCGAAAACCCTCCTCAGTCTGGTTGATTCTAGCGCCATGTTTATTTCGTCGCCACGTCGATTTCTTTGATGGTGTTCTATGGGTAACGCCAGTCGGGATGGCATAACAGTTAGTTAATTCATGTTGTGATGGTTTGTGTCGTTTTGCATTGTCGTTGCTGTTCTTGTCCGAAATTGCCGTATATTTTGGGAATTGACTTACCTGACCAGCATGTTTTTGAGGCTCCTGCTTATCAACTTGTTTTGGTGGTATTCGAGGGTTAGGTGGTAATTCTTGAGATGTGATATATTTATTAGTACAGGTATGCTCTTGAGTCGGAGGCGCGTGTTGATTTCTAATGCAATTAGTGCTGAGTGTCTCCATAATAATGCAGGAATGATCATGACAAAGCCCATTGTCAGTTTCTTTACTCTTTTGTTCTAACTCGTGTAGGTTTAGTGCCTGTTCGAGTTGTAAGATTTTTGTTTCGGCAACCGTTCGCTCAGATTCAAGTTGCTTGGTTTTATCTTATTCATCATGCAGTTCCCTTTCAAGACGCTTTAATTGAGTATCATAACAAACATTGGAAAGGCACTCAGACCGCAAATTTGCCAGAGATTGTAATGCATCATTACGACTCATTACAATGTCATCATTTAGATTCGATCCTATTATGTTATCGTTTTCCTCATCAAAAGTCAACTCGTTTAGCCGGGCAACTCGGCAAAGCGGGACAACTCGGCCCATGCAATCAGCCCCTAAATGTATATTCACCGTTAATGTATATTAATAGGAAAAACTAAATACTTTAATAGCAAAAGATTTTAAGTAAGATTTCAACCAATTTGCACCAGAAAGTTTTTTATATGGCATAAAAGTTGTTTGTCATAGAAAAAGACATAGAAAAAGAAAAGAACATATGTATGAAATGTATCATTTGCGGTTAGTGAAACTTCATTGCATGGTTTAGAAAACAGTTGCTTGCTGCTTGTCTCATCGTAGAAACTAAAAAAAACCTACTTAATACGTTTCCTACCTGGGTAGTTTCTGATTTGAACTTATTCATTGCCTTGTCAGCTTTATGTTTGTCCTTTCCCTGATGACACCAATATATTTTCTCACCGTTCATGATAAAAGGAACTCCATCAAATCCCAAGCTATGATTGGTTCCACCTGGGGATTCCCAACAAACGTTCTTGTTTGTTAAAGTTACATCTTAAAGTAAAATACGGATTAGAAATAACACTTAGTACAAATGTGTAAATATATGAGATTATAGTAACTTCAGTAATTTCAGTAAAATGGTTTGTACTGTATATGGTCATGGTGATTTCCAATTTCCGATATCCCCAGGGGGCAGAAACAATGACTTAATCTCCTCAACTACAAATATTTCTAGCCATTTTACTTTTACAGTTCAATGGAGGCATCGCTTCTACATTTGCTTCAGACTCCAGTTGTTGTACTGGGGCACAGGCAGGGGTACCCTCCCCTACTTTTGGCGAGGACCACAAGTGTGTGCTGGGTAGTTGTTACCATGCTGGCCTGTTAGTACACTGTCACTGAGAACCTCTCACATTTTTTGGTCACATAATAATAGACATTGCTAAATATTTACCAAACTGATGAGTACTGTCACCCTGGGCATGCAATATGGACTCTAAGATTGCACAAATTCCCCCCCCCCCACTACTAGCAACTGAATTGTCCCTCCCTACAAAGTTGGGTTGGTACGGCCAAGGTGGACTTGGCTTCTTAAGAATCTCTTAATACAGGGGTGCATCAAGGAAAAGGGTGGATCTTTTAAGGCTGGATTTCCTGCATTTTCAGACACAAATGTTTTATATACTGCATCTATATATCTATAGATCAAGACTAGACATTCCATCTTCACTGGGGAGGGGGGGGGGGACTTGCCCCCCTGTTTGTGTTAAGAAGCCCTGACGTTGGACACTTTTTGATGCGCACCCGAAATCTATTTTATATAAATTAATATACAGTGGTAAGGTTGGGGTCAGGGCTGTACACGGGATTTTTTCACCAGGGGAGCAGTACGTAAGGCCTATATGCCGAATAACATCCCACATATCCAAAGAATAATTAATGACATTCTAAAAATCATAAATATAGTTTTCTCTGGGCGGGGGGGCAGTTGCCCCCTTTGCCCCCCCCCCCCCACCCACCCACTGTGTATGGCTCTGGTTCAGGGACGTAGGCCCCACTGTGTATGGCTCTGGTTCAGGGGCTTAGGAAGCTTTTAAAAGTTGGGGGCCAGGCCTTGAGGGACACTTTTCGAGAAAAAAAGGGCATCTAAAAATTTTTTTCCTGGAAATGTTGGTGATGGGTGGGGGGGGGGGGCGGAGGTCATCTCAAAAAAAATTTGCAGACATACCAAACAAAATTTTCCGGATATACCACATTTTTCCTAACATAGACTCAAGTTTTCAAAAGTCCCCTTTGGGCAAAAAATGCAATCTTAATGACAATTTTTCATGCAACAAAAGGGTGCTTAGCTCCTGGAAAAAGGGCACTTGCCAAAACTTGGGGGGAATTCCTGGAATTCTTCAGGGGTAAAGGGTTTTGAGCTTGGAATTCTTCAGGAGTAAAGTGTTTTGAGCTTGGAATTCTTCAGGGGTAAAGTGTTTTGAGCTTGGAATTCTTCAGGGGTAAAGGGTTTTGAGCTTGGAATTCTTCAGGGGGAAAGGGTTTTGAGCTTGGGATTCTTCAGGGGTAAAGAGGTTTGACTTTGATATTTTTCAGAGCTTGGAATTCTTCAGGGCTGAAGGGTTTTGAACTTGGAATTCTTCAGGGGTAAAAGGTTTTGAGCTTGGAATTCTTCAGGGGTAAAAAATTTTGAGCTTGGAATTCTTCAGGGGTA